CGTGTGCCCCGCTTGGTAAGGTGGATCCCATCGCTCCCCATCAGCTGTTGATCTTCAAACAGGGTCCCATGGTCATAGAAACCAAAGCCCTGTTGCCAACACCAGCGGCGCAGCCAGCTGTTAACTTGGAAAACTCGTCTACTCCTCCTCCTGTCCTTTCCCCTCACAGGCAAGATTGAGGAGAAAACGACCTGGGCTCCCAGACCCTTCACCACCATTCCCAGAGCTCTGAAGTCCTGTTTGATGGTTTCCAGTTTGCCTTTCGTGTTGTTAGCACCCACATGGAAGAGCAGAAGAGGGTAGTAGTCCGATGCATGGACAAGCCTTGGCAGTCTTTCCATGACATCTCTTATCCGAGCCCCTGGCAGGCAGCAAACCTCTCTGGACAAGAGGTCAGGTCGGCAGATAGGTGCCTCTGTCCCCTGCAGCAGGGAATCACCCACAACAATCACTCGCCGATTTCCAATGATTACTTTCTATTGAAGATGCTCCTGCCTCAGACTGAGCTGGATTTTTCCTAAAACTATACCATTAAGTCCAAATACCAAAGTTGAAATAAGAAAATGGCCTCTCCTTAGCTCTTAACTGCTAGGCTCAGACAGTGTGAAAGAGAAACTAGCACATATAATGGGTGAGTAGGAAAAGAAGAAAACTAGAAATCAGATTTGGGAAGTGTCTAGGACAAAGACTCAGAGCGGGTTACGGGAACTGAAGGAAGACTATTAAGATGGATAAGGAACATTATTATTGCATGTGTTTGAAAGCAGAAGTATTTAGGCCACAGGGGGAACCTTACACCTTGGCATTTATTACCTTTTTAATGCTTGATTTTTTTTATGACTAATAAAATCATTTCTACGTAGGCGTCCTTTTGTGCAATTTAAAATACATTAAAAAAATAAACAACGTAACAAAGTGTTCCAATATAAGATTAGAAAACCACAGTATATCATTCACGCAAACACTGATACAGAATGTACAAACATGCTTAGAAAACAACGTTCTGTGCATCATGGGAGTAACGACTAAACTGTTAACACTCCAAAAGGAAAAAGTAGACCTCTTTAAAGTTATATATAATTAATTCTGACTTTACCATCAATGTAATTTGCTCATTGTGTGCTCAGCATTTTGCCATTTAGAAAAACCTTCTGTGCTTTAAAGTCTGTGCAAGTTTATTATCATAAGGGATTGGGATTATAGTGAGTTGCAAGAAATTTTACAAGCAGTGAGATAGTAACTAGATTCCTTAAATAGTCTCCAAAAGTCTCCTCTTAGCAAAATAGAATTTTACAACAGAAAAAGTTAGAAAAGAAGAATGCTTTGAACATTAACTGGACTCCATTAAAGCAAAAAATCAACCTTAAAATTTTTAATGACATTTTTTAGTCTGGGAATAAACTAAGTCTACTTTTGGCATGG